ATATCTACGGCTCTTATGCCATCCACCGAGATAAGGAAATTTAAACAATTGCACCATAGATAACCTACTTTATAATCACAGACAATGGACGACTACTCGAGCTGCCGGATCGAGACGAAGTGGATTTTGGAATTCAGGGCCTTACGAAGGGAACTACCCACTACCCACTTAAACGCCAAAATGCCAGATGGGGCTCTCTATGATACTGGCCAGTCAGTGATTGAGTACCTGTGGCGTGGTGGCTTCCCCCCTAGTCATTCCACTGTGATCCAAGGGTGCCAGGCTTGGAGGCATCAATAAGATTGGACTTCGTAAATGTCTTAGCGGCCCACTCCGGTGGAAACAAGCAACGATCGAATTGCGCTGGCCTGGCTATGTAAGACCCTTTGCAGCCCCCAAGCGCCAACCCCAGCTGGGAAGGACCTCACCGGATTAGTGTGATGCCGCCGCCCACTTTGATCTTAGGCTGGTCCGATCTACTCTAAGATCTTGTGACTTGATTATTACAAGCGAGCATGAAGTAATGGGAATGGAGGCCTTGACAATTAATTCCCAGTGTTCTCTATCTCTGAAGCAACCCTAGGACAGACCGAAAAAAAAGGTGCCGTGATGCCCCGTTAAAATCCCGTGGATTATGCCCTTCTCCTTTGAAGAAATCAAGTCGAAGCCGGCTGTTCAGTAAGCATTACAACGCGTTGAGTCTAGCCTACCCTGTAGGCTCTTTCAGCTAAGGCGCTCAGGTTCAAGCAGCTTCTCCGAGGTGTGGCAGCCTCGCTGCTAACTGACGCATGCATCGATTATTTTTCCCATCCTCGTTCACGCTAGTGACACCGCATTGCAGCGCATTCCCATCCGTCCGCGACGGCGACTCCTGTCCTGATTCAAGTGCCATGCCATAGCGCTACGCGAACCTATTTCGTACTTATGTAGGAGTCTTCTCGTGCAGGGCCAACAGCCATCCCCGCTCCCAAGGCGCACATAAGGCTCTCATCATAGCGTGCAGTCTCCCGCCCCAAAACGCCAAATTGGACCGAAAAAAAAACCAGCCAAAGGAGAAAAGCTGGAAACCGTTCGGTATGCTCTCTAATCCAGTGTACCGTGATGAGGTGTCTCAAACTTTTCTTTTTCTTCTTTTTTTTTTTTTTTTTTTTTTTTTTTTCTCTTTTTTACTTTTCTGACTTTTTGCCTCCCCCAATATGTTTTTGTCGCACCCCCTCCTGTCTGTCTCCCGGCTCGGCAAATAGCCCGGCCAAATAACCTTTCGGTGGTTTTTCCCCGTCCTGCCACTGCAACTTTAGCTTCCTTTTGACCAACAGGAAGCGCAGTATGCTCAGATGCTTCCCGGCGCGGCGCCCTGGTACCGAGTCCGTTTCAGGAGGTTGCGAGTATGTACCATGCGCGTAGCCATACTGTGTTAAGTGACTTGTCCCTTCAACAAGTCGTCGTGATAAGCACTTGGAGGACTATTAGCGATTTCGCGTCATTGGACGTACCGAACCACTCTTGGTGCTTCGATTTGCACAGCACTGCTCCACCCGTCTTGGTGTGTTCTTCATGCCCTTCCCGAACGAAGGATTCAAACTAATAATCAACCATAATGAGAGGGGCACACTAATATCGAACGGCGGTGATAAGGAAAAGCGGCCTCCTCCACAGCGCGGTACTTGGATTACCTCCCCGCATCCGTACCATTTTAGGGGGGAGGGACTCTCTCTCGCAAAGGGAAGTAATCAAAGATGCCTGGGTTGTTCAGAGAAAAGGGTTTGCGCGTATTTTATTTCGCGATAATACCTTCCCAACCAACTCTAGCGAGACATTGATCTCTCGGCAACGCGTCTGGATTCCCTTGGCAACTGTAGCTATTCCCAGGAAAGGCATGCGGCCCTGCGACGTCATGTAATGAGCTCTGAATGATATCCTCGGAATTGTAGCTCACTGTGCACCCTGGATAACGGAGCCAGCCAAAGAGAGGGAGAGCGAGCTAACAGACGCCAGCTTTCCCCCGTTGTGGGGGAGGTAGATTAGTGTAAGCCTGGAGCAACTGCCTATAGTGGTAGGTGACAATTAAAGCGGGGTGATGCATGCACCTAGATAGGGTTTGACGGGGCATCATGCCTATAATGGAGAGCCTATGCCAACAACACGACGTACACCGTGACAACAGAAACCTGGAGTAAATAGGCTATCTCAAGTGTAAAAGGACAGGACAAAGAACAAGGAGCAAATTAGGAGGGGGTGTGACCCGTAATTCTCCCCCCCCAATCAGGCTATCATCGACCGGCCCAGTGGCGTGGACATGCAGCTCTTCCGGGAGAGTACATTTGATCCCTTCGTATACACTAGTTGTGCGGTACTTCCTAGTCTCAATTATTGCCTGGCTCGGAATCATTACCCTTTTTCTCTGCGAGAATCGGAAAGGCTTCCATTGGTTCTTCCAACATGCAAGATGGGGCGATAACAGAGAGGAGTGTGACCTTGTCGACGGGCTGACCGGGCATGCTAAGGCAAAGTCGGCGTATGACTATGCCTTCTTGGAGTTGGCGTGTGTGCCAACTGTGTGCCTTGCTTCGCCGACATTTTCCAGAATACTTCCCATTTTGGGAGGTGGGCGGTTAGCAGGAAAGCCGGGACCATCTGTGCTGTCTCGGGTCCGCCGGTTGGATTGCTTCCAGATGTTGTCGCGTTGCGGATGGAGAATGACCGGCGAAAGAATGAATCCAGGGATTGATCCTGAGGGAACGAAACAGAGCGGCGTGTCTGCCTCGAGCTGGGATTCGGTTTTGAAAGATCAATAGGGTCCGGGGTAATGTCCATGGCAGGAAATCGCTCACGTGTAGCGGAGTTGGAAAGAATGCGGAGCAAATGGCACACTAAATGGCTTGAAGAAGGCACCAGTTAACTATGGCGATCGTCACTCTTTGGGGGCCAGGCCAATTGACATCGTCCCCCTCCATATTCCTTCGTCATGTACCACTAAGCGCTACCATCGAGACGTCATCAAATCACTGCGGCCTCGACGTGCCCTGAAGAGATTTGCCTATCTCATCCATATCGCCCTTGGGAAGGCGCTGTGTGGGTCTCACAAGACGCAATCGAGTACTCGAGTTCGCTGGTCCTTCCTCAAGAATCGCGCTCTCTTCTGTCCCTCGTACTCTTTCGCCCTCCATACATGTGATAGCCGACTCAGTAGTGGTAACTCCCCAGGGGTAGTCCAGAGGCGGACCTCATCACAGACAATTGGAGCTACCAGCACTGAAGAGCGGAGTCCGAGCTACAGTAGCTTCAAATCATCGACAGTGCACCTTCCTATTCCTTCACTTCCCAGGATGTAGCCCAGGATGATGATTGGTGATTTTGCGGGGACCAAGTCCGGTACAGTGCGACGGTAGCTCCACGACCTGTGCGGTACCTCCCCCTTCCGTCAGGGTAACCTACTTCGCAAGAAGTTTATCGTTCCAAGCCGGCAATCTGCAGGTAGTTCCTTGTACTTACCTCGACCTATCTGATACAGACTTGGTCATATGGGGAAACGATGCTCGCCATGCTCCTTTGTTCCTTCTCCGACGAGAGCAATCTCGTGCCGGTTTTTAAAACATCTTCTGCTATATTTGGGCGATAGGACCGCAGCGCAATGCAGCAGGAGCGCGGTTGATGTCCGTCTGTAAAGTGATATCGGATGTATCTGAATGGAGAATTATTCTCTGCCGGGGCCAGCCAGAATTGCCTGTGGAATGCTCTTGCGTCAGCATCGAGAGGTACCAAGATAAGTAGAGATAGCTAGGCCCGAGTACGGCGAGAATACTCTCGGGTCCTGGATCATGCCACAAGGCGGCCTCGTACCTGTTTGTATGATGGACATTGGCCGTCAGAGATCGACGGACGCCCGTCAAGACGTCGACAAGACGGAACCGGCCCAACCCACCCCCAGAAAAGCAATGTAATCCCACGTCAGGTCCAAGTTCACTCAACGCGCTTGCAACCACTCTGGGTCGAGAATCTTGATCCCAGTTGCACTTCGCGAACATACGCACAACACCCGCCCCCCTCTTGTACCACTGACCCGCCTCTTTACTACCTTTCCTTCCTAGTCAACCCCCCCCCCCTTGTTTCTCTTTTCCCACTCACTCATCCCCCCCCTGCTCTGCAGATAATATTGAGGTCAGAGATATCTTGGGGCACGCTCATTCCACACTCTCTCTGCACTTGATCCCAGCTTCGTGCTTCGTTACGGGCCCAGTGCGTCCAGTTAGTCAATCTTTGTTCGCCATCCGCTGGCGTTCTTCCAACTCGATCCACCATCGTATGGCTCCTCTTTGATCCTAAACCCGAGCCATCAAGTTCCGGTTCCGCCCCTCCCCTCCCTTCCCTCGCCTTACCCAGGATCCCAAGGCCCCGACTCAAGAAGGGGTATCATCGAAACCTCCTCTTGCCTAGAAGTCACCCCCTCCCCTCCCCATCCCCACACCCTCACACACTCCTAGTCAGTTCTTTTCTCTTTCCTATTCCAGCCAACTTGCCATCGACACGCCCAGACCTGGCCACCATCCGCCTTCCCTCCCACCTTCGAGTCTCTGTATCGTTTCCTTCCAGACCGAGGTAAGTGCAACCAAGAGCTCCTTCCATGCATATATTCCCCCAAAGATCCGCGCACAAGCTCTCATCCTGTCGCGCCCCACGACTACCGATCCTACCTTCTGATATAGGGACTCCTAATAATACATCGAGGTCCCCTTACCACGTCCCAATACTCCCCCTCCTTACCTTCCTTCCCATTTCCACTGCATAACTTATATATAAGACATCCTCCTCCGGGTGTCTTTGCCTCAATTTATCCCCTTCCTCTAATCCAGAGCTTCCTTCATTTCTTTCCATCCTCGTCCTTCCTTTTCCCTTGTACAGGGCAACTGACCAATTGCTCTGTCTTCACGCTCACGGAGTAGCTCCCTTCGCCAGTCGAGCAGTTCGATCGAAAAGACTTCAGAGCTACTGGAAGCGCCAACATGGCGGCTCGCGGTGATGAATCGCCGCCTCTAAAGGCGGACCCCGAAAAGGCCGCCGTCGTCTCCTACCCCCCTCCTGTCCTCCCAGGATACAACCAGCATGGTCGGTCCAAGCACGCCGCCGAAACCGTCCAGGATGAGGAGTTCATGACTCGAAATGGTCTCAATCTCACCTCTTTCAAGAAGCGAGACTACGGTCTGGGTCTGGTCGAGCTTGACCGTGCCATGAAGACGCGTCATCTCCACATGATTGCCATCGGTGGTTCGATTGGTGCTGGTTTCTTCGTCGGTTCTGGTAAAGCTCTTGCCGCAGGTGTAAGTGTCCCGAAGAAAAGAAGGAGGAAGAAAAGAAAAAAAATCCGGGCATGACGGTCCCTCGGTTTTGACAGCGCTGAAGGGCGCCCTAGCACTTGAGGACGTTGGCTGTGGTGGTCTCTTTTGGAAAATGCTAATGTAATTGCGAATAGGGTCCTGGTTTTGTTTTGATTGACTTCTTGATTATCGGTATCATGATGTTCAACGTCGGTAAGTGCTAGACTTCCCCTGAGAAAACGCCTAGTTGAAATCCCATTCGCTCCGGGTAACAGGTTTTTGCTAACATCAGTGCGTGTTCTTTTAGTCTACGCTCTCGGTGAACTCGCTGTTATGTACCCTATCTCTGGTGGTTTCTATACTTACTCGGCTCGATTCATTGATCCTTCCTGGGGTTTCGCCATGGGTTGGAACTATGTTTTCCAATGGATTATTGTCTTACCTCTCGAACTGACGGTCTGCGCCCTCACAATCAAGTATTGGAATAAAGACATCAGTGAAGCGGTTTGGATTGTAGTCTTCTTGGTGGCCATTACGATTTTCAACATCTTTGGTACCATCGGATACGCCGAAGAGGAGTTCGTCGCCTCGGCTTTCAAGCTTGCCGCAACCGTCATTTACATGATCACTGCGCTCGTCCTCGTCTGCGGCGGTGGCCCCAAGGATGGCCGGTACAGTGAATACTGGGGTGCTCGTCTTTGGTACGATCCCGGTGCTTTCAAGGACGGTTTTATGGGCTTCTGCGGCGTCTTCGTCACGGCTGCTTTCTCTTTCGCTGGAACTGAGTTGGTTGGTCTCGCCGCCGCCGAGTCTCGCAATCCCGTCAAGGCCTTGCCCGGTGCTATCAAGCAGGTCTTCTGGCGTATCACTCTGTAAGTTCTGATCCTCCTCCAGAGACGTGCGATCCAGCGAGAAAACAAAAGAGAAGGGTTCACAAGTACTAATGCCTGTTCTATCACCATAGCTTCTATATCCTTGGTCTGCTCTTCGTTGGATTCCTCGTCAGCTCCGACGACGAAAATTTGTTGTCTGGCAAGGGCTCGGACACCTCACCTTTCGTGCTTAGTCTCAAGTACGCTGGTCTCAACGGCTATGACCACTTCATGAACTTTGTCATTCTCGTCTCGGTTCTTTCCATCGGTGTCTCGGCTGTATACGGAGGCTCTCGAACCTTGACCGCCCTTGGTCAGCAAGGGTATGCCCCCAAGATCTTTACTTACATTGATCGATCCGGTCGTCCCCTCTTCTCGGTGGCTGTCCACCTTATTGCCGGTTTCCTAGCCTTCCTCAGCATGAACGACAAGGGTGCGATTGTGTTCGACTGGCTTGTTGCACTTTCGGCGCTTGCGGCCCTGTTTACCTGGGGATCCATCTGCCTTGCACACATCCGATTCCGAGCGGCGTGGAAGCACCACGGTCACACTCTCGATGAGATTCCTTTCCAGGCTATCGGTGGCGTGTATGGTTCGTGGGTCGGCTTCATTCTTTGCATAATTGTCTTGGCCGCTACTGTAAGCCTCTCCCTCCCTTCCCTTCCTTCATTTTTCAGGTCCCGTCTTCAAGGTCACCCGCTAATCATCGGTTCGATTTCAAAATAGTGCTACACTGCCGTTGAGCCCAAGGATCCGGAAGAGTTCTTCAAGCAGTGGCTCGCCGTCCCCGTGGTTCTCGTTTTCTGGGCGATTGGCTACGTTTGGAAGAAGACTGGTTGGCTTAGCCTCGACCAAATTGATATCGACACTGGTCGCCGCGAGCACGACTGGGATACCATCCAGGCCTACCGTGACGAGGTTGCCCGTTGGCCCGCTTGGCGCCGTATTTGGAATAAGCTCTTCTAAGTCTTGTGGGGTGCATCTCGTTTCGCAGATACCAATCTATTTCGTTGTGGCCCATATTTTGTTCTAGCCTGAGCGCTTCTTATTTTCTACGTCAACCTTGGCAGAGTACACTCACTCCTCGAAGTGGGCGGTCTGCAAATGGTTTTGGAACGTGGCAAGCGGAATTGCAATCTGGTGAATCAAGCCTGTATGGCAATGCTGCTAAACGCTGGGCATTTTTCATTTGTTATTATTTTCTCCCATGTCCATCGGTCAGCTGGACCTTGATACCATAGTGAATATCGCATGAGCGTTTTCTCAGTTGAAGCTTTTTAGAACAGGTCCTGGTTTTCTGAAATGGTGGTGTAGTCATGGTAATGATTCGCACTCGGTTCATCTGCTTTTGCTTTGTTCCCATGTCAGGGAGAGCGTTGGCCCGAGTATTCCGAAGTGCACTTGGGCAAGGAGGTTGAGAGAGAGAGAGAGAGAGAGAGAGAGAGACGGTTGTTGACTGGGAAGCGCTCGAAGAACTTGATGGTCTCTTGAATGTCGAGTATTACTACTTGGACAACAGATCTTCTTTCTCCGCCGGAATGTGTTCTACTTATGTGCTCCAAGAGTGGTTTCCTTGTCAAGGATCGTGACTGGAAGGGCGTTAACCAACGTTCCATTCTGCATGTCAATTTTGCGCCTTTGGTGGAAAAGGCGCAACGAGAAAACCCCACCAAATTCTCCGCCTCTCATCTTAGATGCCGTTTTCGTCCTAGTGTCCCGAGAATGCGGGTGGTTACCATCGGAGGGCGCGAGGGACCGGCCCGCATGCGAGTCCCCTTTCCGTGCATCAGGACGCGAGTTAGGCCATGTGGGATGAGGATGGCATCTTTTGGTGGGAGGGAAGTGGAGGGAATCACGCAGCCTGGTTGGGCTTTTTGGGAGGTTGTGGAGGGGGGGACTTGACGGTTCCTTGGCAGGGGCTGAGGAGGGCATCTCCGAGGAGTGGGAACTGGAGGGCGCCGTTTGTGCTGGCTGAGGGGAAATAGTTGATTTGGCTTTGTTATGTTCATGTGTGATGCGTGAAGAGGCTAACGATGGTAGGAAGCTCATTCCTCTTGAATGGGCAGAGGAAAAGCGGATTTTCTCCACGTTGTAATATCAACCCATTCCCTACGAAGTACACTGCCCGGATTGTCTTTCAATTCATTATTTGAGACTGGGGATTTAGTAGGGACTATGGAGTAAAACTAGTGAACTCAGCTAGGTGCAGAAGGAGGCTGAAAAACGAACGATGGAGGTGAAATATTTCAACATCGTGAAGCCGGGATTGCAGAACTAGGATTCGGGCAGCGCCAAGAGGATGGGGATCTCCTCTTCGGGGTTTGTGTCAATCCCAACACTACCTCACGTGATGAAGAAGCGACGACGCCGATCCTTAGTGCTGATGCAACCCCCCTGCTGCTTTCTTGACGAGGATGCTTGAAACGTGGATCGCGAGTGTTTCTCGTTCTTTTTGGGTCGAGGGCTGGTCTGGGAGATAAACCTCGCAGTGCCGGTTGATCAAAAGGCAGAGTTCGCGCCTTGAACTTCAGAGCCGACCTCGTTTCACCTCACGGCGCCAGGTTCGCATGGCCGTGTCGCTCACCCACCCATCTACCGGCCTATCGCCTCAGGCCTTCTCATTCCACATTCTCATATAAAATGCGGGAGCCGTTTCGATAAACATACCCTGCTAAAAAAAAAAATATGGGACAAACAGACATTCCCCCACCCCACTGCCCGCCTTGGCTCATCCCAGCCTCAACTGTCCTCCTCGCCCTCGGCATCCTCCTCTGGCTCCTCACCTACATCCTCATGACCCCCCGCTCCCTATCCACCAAATCCTCCCCCATCCCCCTCCTCGCCCTCTCCGTCAACCTCTCCTGGGAAATAATCTTCGCCCTCTACGTGACCGAACACATCCTCGAGCGCGCCGGCTTCGTCCTCTGGCTACTCTTCGACGTCGCCATCATCCACGTCACGCTGCGCGCGGCGCCCTACGAGCGTCCGCCCTTTCTGGCGCGGAACTTGGGGACGGTGTTGGCGGCGATGGTGGGCGTGGGTTGTTTGGCGCAGTGGACCGTTGTGGTTTGGTGGGTGGAAGTGCCGGGGAGGGGACATGGGGATAAGAGGGGGAAGTGGTGGGGTGGGGTGGAGGGGATTGATACGACGGAGTTGGCGTACTGGACGGCGGGGGTTGCGCAGGTTTTGGGGAGCGGGTTGAGTTTGGGGGATCTGGTGAGGAGGGGGCATTCGGGGGGGACGAGTTATGGGATTTGGTGAGTGTTTTCTTTACACTGACATTGGACTTTTTTTTTTTGCTTGGCGGAGGAGAGACGCCTTGTGGGGGACTTGCCTCTCGAAAGATGTTTTCTTTTTCTTCATGGGTTCTGAGACACTGAAACTTATTCCTTCCCGCCGGTCAAGAAAACGCTACCACTGACATGTCTCGATCTCCTAGGCTCGCTCGAACCATCGGCTCCCAGTTCGGCCTCACCCTCAACTCCGGCATCCTCTGGAGGTACTGGCCCGAAGCCCACGCTTACTACCTTACCCCTCCATCCCTCTTCATTCTCGGGGCTACGACTGCGTTTGACCTGCTCTACGGGGCGGTCCTTTGGTACGTGAAGAAGACGGAGAGGCAGCTGCCCGATGGGAGGCTTGTGGCTGGGGCTTGGCATGGTGGGAGTCCTGGGGAGGCCGATAAGAAGGTCCAGTAAGAAAAGAGAGTATGGATTGGTTAGGTATAAAGCAGGGAGAGCTAGATGCGCCAGATGTTCTCTAAGTATTAATTGCTGCTCACGGCGGGAGTTCGCCCTAACTGGGGAGACTCAGAGCCTACATAAAATGGTGTCCGGCCTCACAAAAGTATACGCAGGATGGACACTTACGAATTTAGAGTCTCGATGTTGAAAATGCCAGCTCGTATAGGGAAGTTCTTTCCAGTAAGCTGGTCGTACATGGCTTTTCGCAAAACGAGTCATAACCTTCCTGGTTATCGAGCATATGGAGCTGCATTACGACTAACAAGGCAGTCAGCTGCAGTACAGAGGCCGGAGAGGGGCGTGTTGAATCTTCGTTCCGATTGCACCATGCTTTTTTTTTTTTAAAAAAAAAAAAAAAAAAGTATTCCTTGCAAAGAATTATTTTTGAAAGGGCCGTTCGTGGAAAGAAGTTCCGTGGTATGTCCGTGATTTTATGTTGCTCCTCGAGAGCCTCGAGTAAACCCTGAGCACAATCCGTACTTCTCTCCCCCAACGTCACTGTTAAACTTGCAGAAACATGGCTTCTCCTCCACAGCCATGGTATCGTAGATGGAAATGATCATCTCCCCTCCTTCATGTCATCCTGCCCTGCGTTTAGATTTCTCCCCACTACGGAACCTTCCGAATTTCCGACTGCGCCTCTGCCGAAAGCCACAAACCCAAAGCTGAGGGGCTTGGGGTTTGACAGAAAGGGATCTCAGGATTGCCTTTCGGAGTTTACAGGCCACATCGAAATTGAAATCACAGTGGTCATCAATGGGCGGACTTTACCCCGGATCCGTAGGGCTGACATGAGTCTGCGGAGTTAGACGTCATCCGAGACCCGGTGGGTGCTCGCTCAACCCCGAAACATGGTCTTTACTTTGTAATCCAAAATCTCGAAAGGGACGTTGTCTAACCACGTTTGGTAAGGGTGCCGCATTCTCGATCTGCAAGATGGCTGACAGGGTCTCCTGGTGTAGCCGTTGAAGGTTCTGACGGGCGGCATGCTGTGTAACACGGCCACCCGGATGGACTTAAGCCGGAGCTGCGGGGCGAGGGAGCTAACGGCTTCCGTGGAATTCAGCCCTGCGGCCCGTCTGTCAACTTGCATTATTGATACTTCGTAATACCCAGTTAACAACTGCCTGTCCTGGTCGTGTTGAATGTCCACGTTATCTCTCGGGATGATCTCTTGAGAGCTTGCAAATCGAACATGGAATGAGCTCGTGGTGTCGGCCACCTGCATGTCTTTTGATACTTGCCCAGCCCGCTTGACTCTCTGTCAGTTCTGACGGTGAGACAAAAGTCGAGAGAGGCTTTCGAATTTTTCGAATTGAACATGATAGAATACAACTGGCTGTTTGGTCTTCACCGGCTTTCGTTGCTCCCGTATCAATACATACTTTCTTACGAAGTAGTCTTCGAGGTATTAGGAAGCTACGTCCTCCCTGCCTTCCTTCCTCATCCGCGTGCCACCCACCTCTCCCCTCGCACCTTCCACATCTCAACCTCTCAACCTCCCGCCAAAAGGGCCCCGAGATAGTGATATAATCAACAATAAAGCCCCGTCCTTTCAACAGACGACCTGACGAAGCAGTAGCCGAGTTGGGTTAAGGCAGATGATGCCCCTCCGGCGAGGGGGGCCTTGGGTTCGAATCCTACCTTGCCCGAGATTTCTCTGCGAACCGTGGCCCAGGGATCGAGTAAAGCAAGACTCCGAGGAGAAATATCCCGCCGCAATGGAGATCCCCATCTAGCCTAGCTAGTGGTCCAGCGGGAGGCGCGACCCCTAAGTAGGAGGGGGGAGGGCCTAGATGTAGGGCGAGGAGTGATATAGTAAATAAAAAATTTAAAATTTTTTTTCTTTTTTTAATTTCTATTTATTTATTTATTTCTTTTCCCCTTGTGTGAGCTTGGAGATATAAGTTTGAGAGTTGTCCAAGATGATATCCGAGATCATCCCGTAGTGATATTAATTAACTGACTAGAATGAACTATTTGAAGAGTTTCTGCTAACTGAGAATACCGACGGCTGTACTCGGATACTCTGACGTTGGACTTGGAAGAGGAAGCAAACTGATTAAATTGATTATATCGAGCCTGGCTCTACTTTGAGATTGGGAATTGATTCTGTCGTCTTGAATTGAAACTTGATAGCTGGACCGGAAATAAGACAAGGGGCCGAGGCAGGCCTTCCTCTATTATTAAACGACTTGTCCCTTTATAATTAGAATTGAAACCACCTCGGAGAATACGTGACGTTTCCGTTCGGGCTTAACGAGACGATGAGGATTTTATTGAGCTGATCCCCTGGATTTATAAACGACACAACACTAGTTCCTGGTGGATAGACTCTAAAAGAAGGGAGAAGAAGCCTTGAACCCCCCGTTTCGATAGGAAACTGGCGCTTGGCTTTTCCCGCGCCGGAGACTAGTTTGCTTTGGTCTAGTTCTCCGATCTCCCGGTGTCAGCCAGTTGCATTTACTACACTAGTGTCGTGTAGTAGTTCGATACCCTCGAAGAGTTTTACAATAAACGACTAACGATGATAAGTGCCGAGGTCTCTTACATTTGCAACTAATCTAATACACCGCCCTCTGCCTTAGTGTTATCGCCATGACGCTACCTGCCCTCGCGGCGAATCTGGCCCCACAGCGTTCCTGTATCAACGTGGTCTTGTGTATTTCCAATCTTCCCGAAACCTTGCCAAATAAAAATCTCTTTACCTCCGGGATCCCGAGTCTCTGACGCCATGGCATGACGGAGATAGGGGCTCCCTCACCAATCCAAATTCCGATGAGCTCCCGAGGCAGCCTAGCTTGCGAGATAGACCCCGCCGTCGTGCTTCTGGCGCGTGGCGGGTCCCTGTCAAAGTGTAGGCACTACGAAAAGTTTAAAGAAACAGGGACGCTCGCATGGAATGCCATGGGGATCCCTCGTGTATATAAGAGGCCCACGAGTCCCAGGTCTTCTCGGGCAGTTCATCACCATCATCATCTCTCCTGCTCTTCAGACCGAGACAACAAGGCTCCTCATACCTGGACTCTTCAAAACTTTACCTACTTCTCACACAACTTCCCTTCCTGCTTCCAACCAAAGTTATCAGAGTCTCTCACTCGACCCTATCGGCAATGACGGACTACAAGTTTGAGGGTTGGCTCGGCCGCACCCCCGACGCCATCAACGGAAAGATGGAGTGGGGAGAGTTCGAACCCAAGGTCTGGACCGAAGACGACGTCGATATCCAAATCACCCACTGCGGTATCTGCGGCTCCGATCTCCACACTCTCCGCTCCGGCTGGGGCGAAACTCCCTACCGTAAGTTCCCATTTCCCCTCCTTCTCCCCCAAAAAGAGAACGCGGAATCCGTGACTAACACTGTGGAACAACAGCCTGCTGCGTCGGCCACGAAATCGTCGGAAAAGCAGTCCGCGTCGGCAAAAACGTCAAACACATCAAAGTCGGCGACCGCGTCGGCGTAGGCGCCCAAGCTCGAAGCTGCATGCAGCCCGACTGCCCCGAGTGCAGCGTCGGCCAAGAGAACCACTGCTCGCGCGCGGCCGTCAACACCTACGGCTCTGTCTACCCCAACGGCGAGGGCAAATCCTATGGAGGTTACTCCGACTATAACCGGACGAACGGGCACTTCGTGCTCAAGATTCCCGATTCCCTGCCTTCGGAGCTCGCGGCGCCCATGCTTTGCGGTGGTATCACTGTTTTCTCCCCTCTGAGGCGAAACGGGTGCGGGCCTGGGAAGAGCGTCGGCATCGTTGGCGTGGGTGGTCTGGGACACTTTGGTGTTCTGTTTGCGAAGGCTCTTGACGCTGATAGGGTTGTGGGCATCTCGCGGAGGGCGAGCAAGAGGGACGAGGTCCTTGCGCTTGGTGCGGATGCTTACATCGCTACGGCCGACGAAGAGGGCTGGGCTAAGAAGAACGCGCGGACTTTGGACCTCATCGTCTCGACGGTTTCGAGCGCCGACATGCCGCTCTCCGACTACCTCAAGCTCCTCAAGGTCGGTGGCACGTTCATCCAGGTTGGCGCTCCCGATGGCGGTAACCTACCCCCTATCAACGCTTTCACTCTCATCGGCAGCGGTATCAAGGTCGGTGGTAGCCTTATCGGTCCTCCTGGGGAGATCCAGGAGATGCTCGACTTTGCGGCTAAGAACAACGTCAAGCCGTGGGTGCAGCTCCGGCCGCTCAAGGATGCTAATCAGGCGGTTATTGATATGACGGAGGGTAAGGCGAGGTATAGGTATGTGCTGGTGAATGAGAGGCATGCTAAGTTGGGGAACTTGTGAGCTGTTTCTTAGAGGGATAGATGTTTTTGGTTTGATGTTGAATGATGGGATGAGGTGTTTTATGATGCTTTGAATAGATTTTTGGTTTTGGGAACCTAGAAATGAGATAGTTGAGTTGAGATGAAATGTAATATTGCTTGTTAATATGTTCCTATGTTCCCTACCCGCAGACGTCTCGTGTGTCTCAAGATTCACATATTTGCAAGTGGTCTCGGTCACATCGCTTGCATCACAACGGTAACGGCAGCAGAAAAACAGTGAACGTGAGACATTCCTTTCTCTATCTCTCATCAAAACACAATCCTCTTCTCCCCCCTCTTCTCCCTCCAATAATTCGTCGCAACAACCATCTCCTCGCACCCCTTGGCCAACCATCCCCACTTCCTCAAAAACCCCGCCGTGACCTCCCAACTCCTCCAATCCCACGCCTCGCCCCAAACAATCAACGCCGGCTCACTCCCGTCCGCGCCGCCAGCAAACTCGATCAGATCCACACAAAGCTCGTCATCGTCCAAAACGCCCAGCTGTATCGCCGCCAGCATGTTATCCCTAAACGTCGGGAACGGGAACAGGTCTATCCAGGGGTGATGCAGCACCATGCGCTGCAGAAGCGTAGGGGCTAAGCTCTCGGGGCAACCTTGGGACTTTTTGGTTTCGTCGCGCCATTTCAGTGTGATGATTTGTGAGGAGGAGGAGGGCGAGGAACCGTCGGATAATAGTAAGGGACCGCGGACGTTGAGGGGGGAGATGAGTTCGTCCTGGCAGAGGCCCTGCGGATCGAAGCCTATGCGGATGGCGTTACGGGCTAGGGCGTCCATGAGGTTGAGGCGGATGAGGTTGGGGAGGTGGCCGATGTTGGGCGAGTGCAGGGCGTGGTACGAGTAGACCTCGCGGAGGAACTTGCGGATGCGTTCCCTGGTTTGCGGGTTGGTTAGGATCTGGAGGCTTTCGTGTTGCTTCTCCCATTCGTCGGAGGTGTTGGAGCCGCTCCGGGGGGATAGACTGAGATCTCTAACCGGGGTGGTCGTCGGAGCCGGGGAGACGGGCGTCGGTGTGTGGATGACTTCCGGGTCCGTTCCGGGGTTTGCTCCGGCCCGGGCTTGTGCGTTCTTCCGCCGACCTGCATATTGCGGGGTTAGTCAATTTTCTATATCGGAAAGAAAAACGGAAGAAATAGGACGACGCCGTGCTGTCGACTGTGCAAAATGGGAGATGGTCGAATACTAACGGTGGGCTCTCTGGTTCAGACGGTTCTGCCTCCTTTTCCTCTCAGCCTTGCTGGTGATGCCTGTCCAATCGTCGCTGGCATCACGCAGGTCTGGTGGCGCGTATTGCGTGAGGATAATCGATCCTTGGTTTCCGTCAATGGTCTCATCCATTGTTTGGTTGTTTTTTCCTTTCCCTCTGGCCTAATATTTTATTGTTTACTCTGTATCCGTATTCTCCGATGACTTTCGTCACTTGTCTTCAACTTCAAATTGTGATGTTGAAATCAGTTTTTACCTTTCAAAAAAAAGAGACAGGTCAGGATTACTAATTTCAGTTGGCGATATTTCTGCGGCTTCAGAGTTTCAAATGGTTCCTTCCCTGCTGGATCCCCGTCGGACATAAGCCCAGTATGCCCTTATTCCCTTTATTCCGTCCGTGTCCAACGTCTAACTCCGTGGTCCCGGACTCGACTTTAAACTCCAGTACCGCCCGTTTGACCTTTGCGCAACATTTCTGAGAACTGTCTCTCCGCGTCGTCTAAGACTCGCCATCTACTACTCCCTGTAAAGCCGTCATGAGAGACGCGAACATCTCCTCTCGGCATCTGCAACAACTTCAAGCCTGTGTGTCTTGGTCTGGTCCGGGTTCCAGACCAGGCTCAGGCTCAGGCTCACAACCTCTCGCACTAAACACTAGATCGGGTCCCCCTGTGCGATTATCTCCGTTCTTTCCGTTTCGACAGCCTTGACATCCTCCTCCCCCCAAACCAGCCCCTATTCTCACCGAGTCCCACCATTACCGGATACAACTCCTTTATTCCCGGATGCTTGAATGGTCCAATAGACAAGGCTCAGTGCCCCAATAGAACGGCCAACCACTAAAAAAAGTCGTTCTGGCAGATGCACAGCGGCAGAAACGTTCCAGGAGCGGGGGTTGTTGGGAAACAGAAAAAGCAATTCCCGCTCTACCGGTCCTTTGTCTCACTCAACGGCCGTGTTGGCAGGGCTGTCAAACGCCGTCAGACTTCTTGTGCATCCCCAAACAAGCTTCTCTCAGCCACCACACAACAAGAGGTACAAGCCGCGTGAGATGGACTCCTCACCGGTGACAGGGAATAACAAGCGAGGTGGGATATGCTATGGACAGCATACTTCACGTCCTTGTGGCGCTAGGGAGTACGCCCGAGAGAAGAGGATGCACTATCGTGTCCTATGAACAGAAGATGGTTAGCGTAGCATCCTGGAATTCTTCCCCGCAGTTCCAATCTCGGCCCGCTTGGAGCCTTGAAGGACCCCTTCATCCACGGACATCAATGCATTTCACTGTCTACCCCCTGCCGCAACCCATGAAGAATCCAAAGGCAACACCCGCGAGTTTTTTCTCCTTCCTTCCTCATGGAGTCATAGGGCAGTTCCAGATCGAAATTTGGCCGTAACTATTGCCGAGTACTATAGTACTACTTCAAGGACCAGAGCAAGGCACTTCTCTGGGTTTAGGCACCATCACCAGTGTAAGCGAGCCCAAATGCGTTGTTTGCACTTGGGGGGCTAGCCTGTCCCACTCTCACCATCATCATCGAATCCCTGGTGATTATGTGCCATGAACTTCGTAAATTGAACGCTTCAGGAAAGGGATCACTACTTCGTAGCTGGCTGCGTTTCATCACTGGACTCGTATCGCACCTAATCACAACTCCAGTTCCTGCCAAGAGCCTAGATCCTCCTCCCAGCGTTTTCACAAAAGTCGAGACACCCATGTCCAAGGGTTCCTTTTGCGCTGCGGTGGCGTCCAACCACATCCTACCGATGAAGATTACCCGCCTGCACATCAACGCCTCGTTCGATGTTTACGTACGTACTTTCAGTGCTTTAGGCAGGTTCCTCTTGCCCTTTCCATCTGCCTGCATCGCGACAAACCACATATTCGGTAACGCTTGCAAAAGCAGTAGAGTTGCGCACGTCACTGGGCACCAGTACGATGTTGAGTTCAAGGGTATTGGGAAGAGTTAGCGTTGAAATTTCTCACCATCGCTAAGCGCTTGGATTCGTGTCGATGGCTCACTACGCATAATAATGGGATCATCACGGAGGAGTCCCCCCAGTCTTTTCTGTCCACCTTTCACAAAGCTGCATGCACGATGGCACTAGAATTACTCGGTGGCAGTACCTGCAATGTAAACGGCCTTTTGCGAGTTCTCTCTGCATGCACATTTACATTGGTTTGTAATTGGCAAGAGAGAAGCTCTGCCGCCAATCTCAGTTCCCAAACTTTGTCAATATGCATTATCAAAAGGGTCTTGGTTGAGGCTTCGGTTACATATCGACATCTCCGAGGCTACTGCCTTACGGAACTTTTCACTCCCACCGAGCTCTATGTGTTGGGGAGGATTCAACGTCTCCATGCTAGAAGCCATTCCCCCCATTTCCATTTTTCGGGGAAGAAATCTCATCCCTCACTCACCTTGCTCAGAGGGGACTAAGGTGCCAGACCCCTTTCACTTCGCCCTCAACGGTCAGGGTTGGCAGGCCCCAGGTTGTCCTCTCCCTCCCCATCCTTTGGCCAGCCTAATACGGTCTAGGCCGCTTTCGGCGCCGCCTGCGTCAAACGTTTAGCGGTCCATTGACGCCATGCACGCCAGACGTCTGGAGACCATGGACACGGTGCGGCAAAACCGCTAACCTCCCGTAGCGCGGTCACACCGATTAGAGAGCTGAAAACTAGTCTCACTCCCCGAAGGTGCCACGATGGAGCTTATCCACGTCCCCGATCTCCTGCGTGGAGAAACCCTTCAGATCTCGAGAACCACGCCATATTATATATCGTTCGTTATATATCGTTCATTTATGTTGTAAGTCGACCATTTTGGTCTAGTTGGCAGACTTTTGGGGAACGTAATCCATGCTTAATTAGTCTGGAGAAATTTCGACCGGCCCATCTCGCCCTGTTCGGACGGATCCGTCATATTGGGCACCGTGTAGGTGACCTGAACCAACCACGGTAGGTTGTAGGTTGACGTTTCGCCACGTATAGTCCTCTGCGGATCTCACGTCTTCATCACCCAAACCCGTGGCGTTGGAAGCCTCTTGCCTGACACAATTGGACGTCTGGTGCAGTCTTCTTCAAGGCAACTAGGTGGAGTGCAGTTCAGGGGCGGCATGCGTCACTGGCCGCTTTGGGGCACATTGCTGCCTCATCGGTCTGCTCTTTGTTGAAGCAGTTTCCAGTTTGAGATTAGCCTGGGCTAGGTTGACCAAAATGCCGGACTTACGAGCGGGATGGACGGGACTCTATTCATGTCTCATGGGTCTGGTTAGTTCGAGTACACTGACGAGCGATGAGGTGGCAGGAAATGGGTTGACAACTTCGTAGACTACCTGCCTTGCGCCTGTAAGTAGAAGAGGCGTTGGCTTGGTCCTCTTGTGAGCTTTGCCTGCTGCCAGTTTTTGCTGGGGATGAAGCGTATCTGAATGACTCTCCGACTACTCTACCCACAAGTTGATGGTGTTGACTTGCAGGGCAGGACTCCATCGGATCGGTCCGCCCGCCAACGACAGACCATTCATTCTCTCGGGCCGTTTCCCTTCAAATCGACCGAAAGAACCCCTCAACTTGTTCCAGTTCTAAGGTCAGCGACCCTATGGGGCGAGCTCATACTTATCACGTCCATGTAACGCGGTGTTGAGAAAAACGCAGGAATATGGGTTGATCAATAATGTTCCTGCCATTATGCTGATCAGATACACTCCATCATTTTGGACGACGCATTTTCATGGACATCCGAGTCTACATGAGATAGAGGCCAAGTGGCTCAACCAAGAGAGGGCCACCTTGCCTAGCCAATGTCGATGATTAAAGTGGTGCCATGCGTACCTGTCCTCGGGCAAGTGGTTTGAACGGAGACGTAAAGAAGTGTCTGGATGCTTTGGTTAAAACAGTTCATTCTCTGGTAAATTGTGTTTGAGATGGGATTCCACACGGCGAAATATCTCCATGGACCTGGTTCAGAGCGGAACCAAGTTGGAGCTCTTGAGAACAGGTACCAAAGAAGGCAGAATATACCTAGCTACTCTCTAAGTCTTGCTGCCCTCCTCGATGGAACAGGTAGTAACTAGAGAAATAATCATATTAGTGGCGCGTGTTGCTGGTACTGACTGTCTGGGACGAAAACAAACAAGGGGCAATGCAAAATTTCCTTGAATTCCAATAAATTGGAGAGGGTTGGCTGTAAAGCTCCCGGCGAAGCCGTTGTGTCAAAACGGCCACTAGTCTTCTTGGCAACTCCAGTTGGGCACAGAATGTATGCAGCTCAGGTCCTGGTGATTCGAGGTCAACCGGCGTCGAGGAAATAAAATGGCAGCGGAATGTCGTATACGCAAAATATTGGCCCTTGTTGCCTTTCTTGTCTGCAACGTGGGTTGTCAGTTCGATCATTTCCCTGTAAGGCGGATCTCTGCGGAGATGCATCAAAGTACGACGCCGGAGGTGAGAGCCGTGGTGCATCATGAACTCTTCTAACATCTACTTCGCTTTCGAGCCAATGGACGCCCCCAGTGATGTACCCCGGGATATCGGGCTCGATCAGTTATTCCACTTGTTGGCCTGAGTATTATTGAAGACCACCAAAATAAAGACAAATAAATGGGATAAAATAACAAGGATTTCTCCATTTGTAGCAGATGTCGCAACTGTGTTCGCGAGTGAGAGTCGAGAGTTGATATGGTTCCAGGGGCGTGCTACCGCAAAAGGGCAATGTGAACAAGGACAACCAGCCCTTGCCACGCGAATGACACCTACGGCCCGGGGCAGGATTAAGTCTCCCATTCGCTGCGGACCAAAAATGCATGACCCTCTTGGATGCAGACCGGGGTCATGTGGGAGCATTTCTTGAATTCTTGCTGGCTGGCACTTTCTCATTGAGCTGCAGCCCCGGTAAATATCCGTGGGGTGCAGACGGGCACAGGAGAGATGTTGTCAGGGACAGCAAAGGATTCGGAAGCTCATGGGCAAGAGCAAGGCGGAGGGCGAGCATCAAGTCGATTCGCATTTCCGGGTGGCAAACATGGTAGACATCAAGAGCCCGGCCAAAGCGGCAAGCCGAATATTACCACTCTCTCCTCGTTAAATAGGTACTTCGTAGAGGCAAGGCGGATGAGAGCCTCGCCCGATACCA